CTGTATGGAATTCATGTACTCTTTACAGCTGAATTAAATGGCTACCTGGAGGGTAAGGTTTTTTGGGAAGTCCAGAGAATGAGGTGTATAACTTTTAGCACAGTGCTACTTACAGCCTCAAAATAGAACCCTGGAATAGGCGTGAGGGGGACATCATGCTTATGCTGGCCTCCTACAAGAGGAAGACATTTCATTTATAACCATAGCCAACTCTGTCACAGCTTTGTTTTAGTAAGAATAATGATATACTTCAACCAGAAAAACCATCAGCCTCGATGCTGAGGCCGCTGTGCATTAGCACAACACATTTATTTGGGGAAGCCTTTTGCCCTGAGACTTCCAGGGTGGGTATTACTGCTGTACATAGACACGGCACTTCTGGCTGTTTATATCTCCCCTTGAAGAGATAGATAATTTAACTCCTGGGCATAAACCTTCTCCCTGCTGCAGAGGTGGTAGCTCTGGATGTTTTACACTTCAAAAATACGAGCAAGGGCCAGATTATGTTTGTCTGTTGGTTTTCTGTCGATATTAACTGTCCTCACATTGCATTGAAATGACAAAAAGATTACTTTACATGTACTTATTGCAGAAGAGAGAGAATTTGGGGTGAAAAAGCATAGACCCTATGATCTGATCCATCTTCTCTTTGCTATTTCCAACTACTTAAAGCATAATGTCACACTGAAATGCACACTTGGAGTGCTGCATTCTCTTCTCCTGACAGATTGTTATGATGTTTTCCAAGGTGACCTTCATAAAACATGTTTCTTTTGAAGCTTATATTTCACTCTCAGGTCATAACAGTTTCACACAGACAAGCAAAACGTCAGCTCCTGCTTTCTAATTAATGGTTCTTGGAGGCTTCTGAGTGGGGGATATAATTAATAGCACTTAAGTTTGAAGTGTAGGTAAACCTATTGCTTATTACTAGGATGTGTATTTACTTGGGGATTATAGCAAACAGCTCCTAAGTGCAGCCATGAACAGCTCTCAGCAATGCTCTCTGGAAAGTCCCCAGGACCAAGCACTACCTTGAGTCTTACTCCAGTATAAGCACTCAAAAACATTGCCCTGCTTATAAAGCGAGGCTCCTGCAACTGAAGGGTCCTTGCCAGCTGTACCCCTCTCTCCCCTGCTCCCATTCCCCATTCCCAGAGTCCACAGCACATTGTATTTCCTATGACTGCATGGTGATTCTGCTTGCCGACAGGCTGCCTACAATGGAAGAGCATCTATTGCAGAAAATATCTCTGGCCATGTCTCTGTTGTCACTGTGGCACCCACCCAAGAGACAACCTGCTCTGTGGTCCGCACTGCAGGTACAGCAACTTCTGTGGCAGACCGACTGTGTCCTCACGGCACGGCATGTGTCCCAGACCCACTCAGTGGATCCACTCCAAGGCATAGTCGTTATTTTCTGGTTTTAATCCATTTAAAGTACCAGAAATAGTAGGAGGGCTTATCTTACAGTAAGTAAAGAAACCAAAGGGGGGTGTTGCAAGCCATCTTGTCATATTTGCCTAAATTTAAGGAAAGTGATGGGATTGCTCTGGTGCACACTCTCATGCATGCAGCATGGATTTTCAGAGGTGCTGGAGCAAAACCAGACACAAGTCAAATTGCCAGCTTAAATTCCCTCTGGTCAGCTGCTACTAACCGTGGTAATTTCCCTGCTGAAGTCAATAGAACAGCAGCTTTTCACACATGCTGAGATCTTGGTGCAGAGGAGGCAGCTGTGAGGCAGGATGAGTGCTCTCGAAAGAATGAGATTGTCTCTCTTTCACAGTGGGGGAAAAAAAAAAAAGAATAAAATTCATATTCTCTGACAAAGTTGAAAAGACTATATTCTCCAGAAACATTGCCAGACTGGGGATGAAGGGGAGAATTGACATGAGAAATCCTGCACCACTGTGCAGCCTGCATTATTTGGAGAGATTTTTAAATTAATTTTGCATGTTGAATGACACAAAATATTCAGATGGTTAAGCAATTAAAAGCTATTGAACATTGATAACTCAAAAAGCACTAGGCAACAGAATATCACTGTCAAGCCCTTCATGCAAAGGGACGTTTTGACATCGTACTTAAGACTGACTACTTTTCTAATGGCATAAAAAGTATTACTTCAGTTATGCATAAAATAGGAAAACTTCTACTGAAACTTGTGCAGCCTGGTTCTTTCTTCAGAAACAACAACACAGAGTGAAACTGCCTTTGAAGAGAAACATTTTTCATATACTATCTGAAGGTTAGTAACTCTTTTAATCTTTAGCCTTTTTACTGGCATGTGTAATTTAAAATGCACAAAACAGACTATCAAAACACTTACCCAGCTATAAATAGTTAGAAAATGTAAAAGGTGCACCTGAAAATAGGAAACTGGAAATTAAGATGCTGCATCAAGTCTCCCTCTTTGAGTAAGGACTGTTTCCCTGTGGATCCACCTCAGAGTGACCAGTTCTCAAACGCAGCTGACCATATGACAGCCAACACTGAACAAGGAATGGCTCCTAAAGAGGTCAAATCTTGGTGCTGCTAAGCAAGAGTGTGACTAACTGGGGCAATTATATAATAAATATCCTTTCCACA